TGAGAATATAAAGTAGTTGGAAGGATGCCGAATATTCTTATCTAGATAATACGATAGTAGTACGGCTAAGTTGCCGACCACCGTAATAATGGAGAGCACGGCCATCGAGATGGCCAATAGCACCGAAGAGGCATCGCTCATCGTTCGCGCATAGCCGTAGACAAACTAGTATGAAGTCTTTCGAGGTACTATTGCACAAATGCAAAGAGCTTGAAGCTACGTCGAGATGCACGATCGTGGGTTAGGATGGGAGGTGGTGTGGCCAGTTTAGGTAAGGGGAGCAAAGCAGGTGTTTGTTGTGTGTATATATGTTTATTGGGTGCAGCGTAGATGTCAACTTCTACATGTAGAAGCTGCCGTCGGCTGTGGACACTACTAACTCTCCTCTCTCGCACCCTTACTTCCCCCCGCGCGAACTGGCCCCGCCCTCCTTCACTGCCCCCTGCTCACCAACCAAGCAACCCCGCCCATCGCCCCGTTATTGCAAGATTTCGCGCGCCAAGACGATAGGCATGGAGAACAAGTGCACCAAGAAGGGCGGAGTCATAGACAATGTTTGAATTCCCGCCTAAACGCTACATGACACGCGCGCAGTTGAAGGCAATCAGAATGCACTTCTCGGTTACCCGCATCTATGATTAATTGCTGCCGATTTGTATGGTGAATGGGTTGCTACGCAGTTTTGGCACGAAAATGACGCGATGCGTATTGGCGACCGCGCCGCGCCTTATCATCACGAATTTCAAGGTTTTCGTGTTTTTCCCCTTTTTTTGTGGTTTGTTTTGGTCCGTGCCAGAACTTTTTGATATCGCTCGGAACTATTTCTTGTCTCTCTTCTTCCTGTTTCAGCTAAGACCTACTTTTTTGCTGTCTGCTTGGTTTATTTCTCTTTGTTCCATTTACTATATACCAAAGCTACTCTATTCATGAAAGTAAACTTTTTGTTCAGCTCAGTATTGATGACAAGCTTTTAAAATTTTCATTGTCTTACATCTCTTCTGGTCAAACTTTAGTATGTTAGCCGTGATTTGGAGCTTTTTTAGGTTAAAGTGAAGATCTTTTTAGGTCATTTGTGTTCACTAAGGAGTGTTAATGTTGCGATTTGCCTTTTACTATCTTAGGTATTGTATGTAAGTTCTATCTTGTCGTTTGTGCAATGTCGATTCAGCTGTGGACTTGCCATATTAGGCCCATGTATTTCCAGTTATAATGTGTTTACTGTATCTTATTTTTTAAAGTTTGTTGTTCACTCTTTTGCTAAGGGATTTGTTGGCTTTGTCATGCAAGCTTTATGATCATTTTCTTGAAGGTGAAGTGGATATTTTTGGGAGTATAAGGAAGCTGTGATGAGTACGTTAGCATCTGAACTTTACCATCCAACAGCAACATTGTTTTTTCGCTGGAGCACAGTTTTGTTTCGTTGTAGCGAAAATCGTTAAGAGATTGATTGAGAGATTTGGGAAGCTCTCACTATTAGCATTTCATGTATGCTTGTGTTTTCATTTGTTTATGCCACTGCCGGTGGTCACATTTTGTATTGTTCTATCTTATTTTTCTCTCCAATTCATTATATAAATCGGTTTGATTGATTTGCTGTTGCGATGTTTGAATCATTTGTGAGTTAAATAAAAAACAAGTATAATTGTTATATATTGATTACCTTCATGTTAATAAATTTGACAATAAGAAGAATTTTATTTACTTAAAGAATATCTGTTGAAAACTGTGTTGGTCATTGTAATCTGCTGGATTTGAACGGTGACAATTGATTTAACGCGGAATATGCTATGTGCTTTCAATAGGCTCTTCTTGCACAGACGTTTTCGCCACGCTTGCACCCAAAAGTGCCGTGATATCATTGCGTAGTATGCTTTTGCTGAGCTGTTTGTGAGTCTTTATTTCATTCACTTCAGTCTGGACTGGTGGACCCAATGTGTTCATTACCGGGTAGCAGCACTTCAGATGGAACACAGGGCAGCATTCATAAGTGGTACTTCACCAAAGAGGAGGTAAGTATGATAGCTTGTTCATTCAAATTATTATTTGCATTAGTTGGTGAGAATATCTCATATTATATAAGGATCGGCCGATTTTTATAACGCTTTTAAGCGTAAGAAGGGTCGACCGACTGAGGGTGCGCAGTGGTGCGTTGCGGTCCCCCCTGTTGAATACCAAATGGGCGTTATTCGGCTCTACCCAGCTTCTCCACGCTTTTTTTCCAGATGCTGGCTTGTTTCCTTTCCTTAGGTTGTGTCAAAATTTTGAGAAGTCGACAGCAAGTGCGCCAGCAAGATGAGTAGGGAATCCTAGGCAAAATGGTGTTTGGCTGCGGTACCGCCGCGCAACCTCGATCGGCCAGGCCTCATTGCGCTTATAAGCGTTACAGAGATCGGTCGATTTTTTTTTATGAAGTGCGGAGATACCCAGCACGTGTCGTTGCTTGTTCAAATTCTATTCGGTTCTATCTTTATTATCTCTTTGTCTCAGGCAAATAACACTGCAAGCATCCGCGAACATGGCTTTACTCCTGAAAAAGAGCTGACATATCGACAGCAAGCGACTCGCTTCATACAAGTAATGGTTGATCAGCTCAATCATAACGTCCATCAACGAGGGAAGATGTGTGTGGTTTGCTCTTTCAGGATTATTTTTCTCCCCATGTACTCACATGTTGCTATATTTTCTGAAATCCAGAAGTTTTCAATCAGAGAATTTCTTTGGTCAATCACTAGAAAAAGACCCTGTGATCTCTTTTTTAAAAAATAGGGTGTCTTTTTCTTATAGTATTCTTCTAAATCATAAGAATTGCGCAAGTGTTTTCTTAGTCTAACGTTATAACTTCTGCCTTTTGCAACTTCCATTTGAGGTTGCTTCTAAGTTGTTGTTGTTTTCAGTTCCCAGTTGTGCATGTGTGCTGCCATCATGCATATGCATAGATTCTTCTGCTTCCATTCCTTCAAATTTTTCGATTACAGGGTAAGTGGGTAAATCTTTGTGATCGGAATAATATCAATGTGCAATTTTCATTTGTTTGGTAAAAGCAGCATCATTGTATTCCAGGATGTCGCAGCGGCTTGTTTGTTCCTAGCTGGAAAAAGTGAGGAATGTCCGAGGAAGTTGGAACTTATTGTACGAGTTTGGTGGGCAAAGAAGTTCGAACGACATCCAAATATACCTTCGAACAACGTAAGTTCTGTTAAACATAGTTTAGAAAAGCGATGAAATAAGCGAAAATGGTGCGAGTCTTCTCATTGTGTTGTGTTTGTCCTCACTCTTTTGATTCTGAACCGCCGTTTGTTTTGCTTTCCACTCATTGGTGGATTATAGCATTACATCGAAGCGGCACAACTGATTGTCCAGTTGGAGAACGTCATCCTTCAAACTATAGGTGCGTTTACGTTTCTTACTCACAAATCATCATAGTTGAAACTCCGAATTGAAAGACTTAGTTGTTAAAAAAAATCCTCTTAGAGTGTAGAGGGAATTGTGAAGGAAGCCATAATAATTGTGTTTAGCATTTGATCTCAAAGTCGAAATGCCACACCCATTCGTTCTAGCAGCGATGCACGAGATTGCCCATAGTGAGCATCTCCCATCACTTGT